GTTGTAGAAGCCAAGACTTCTACAACAAAAGAGAGTGATGAATTAAAATGCCCATCCTACATGAAGCAAGAGGTGTGGTGTGTGGAGAATTAAAGGTGTTTTCAGCGAGTACAGCTGACCCAGCCTATGAGCTGGACCCTGCTGCAAGCAGATGCTATCATGGTCTCTGGGGGCACTGGATGTCCAGGCTCCTGTGAAGAAAGTTGGTGGAAGTGCTGTGTAAAAAAACCCCGTTGTTTAAAACCCAGTTCCTGATATACAGTGCGTTTACTGGCAAATTGAAGCAATTTATGGAGGAGGCATTTACTGGCTGGTGCAGGCATTGCTCAGTTGCACCTCCATCGCACCATGGCTCTTAGTGGCCTCACTAGAAACTGTCTGAATCATAGCTCCTCCTGCAAAGGAAAGCATGGGCCTGTCACTTGGAAGGGGTGACAGATCAGAAAAAGGATATCAGTGGGTGCAGCTCTACCCAGAGACTGCGGAAGCTGACACTAGGTACAGCTCTTGCAGTTTTATACCATCACCAGTACAAGAGCAATCAATTGGTCAGGCACCACTGGGGCTGGAGAAGTACTTACATCACTATTAGAACATCCTCCCAAGGTTGGCTGTACACTTTCCCCTGCATCACCAGACCCTTGTATTCGCCACCTTAGATCATGGGGAGGGAAGGAGGAGAGAGAGGACAAAGAGAGAAGCAGGCTTATGGGAAAGGAGAGAAGCCTGCAAGAACAATCTTTTATACTTGCAACTAGTGGTTTAATCTTTGGAATAAACAAGGGGACTTGCAATTATGAGTATCTTTTATGAATAATTACTGCTATTTATGTTGGCAGTTATCAAGTGTCATATATGATTTTTTTATATCCTTAAACTTGGTCAGCTGAATGTGTAATCTTTAGCCCCTTATGTGTTTAAGACTTATTTTTACATACGCAGTTATGTTTTTATAACTGTGGTAATTCACCAGTCAAAACATGATATACATGACTTGGGTACTGATCTTTTCATTTTAATTTCTCCCCCCCAAAGTAACCAGTCATGTTTGACTGATCTTTTCATATTAAAAACAAAAAGGAAGAGATATGCAGAATTTATTTGCAAATTCTCCTTGTTGAGCCCTGTCACTTTAGTGACAGCCCTCCCTGAATTTCCCCCCCCCCCCCAATTTGGATTTGAAAAGCTGTTGTAACCCTTTAAAAGCTGGACACATTTTATTTGGATCATTTTTCTGTTTGCCTTTGTGTTCAGAGGCTGACCTTCAAAGGGCATTTTTAATTGTGATAAAACTTAATCTAGAATATTTCCAATTGCACACACAAAGATGGCTGAAATCCCTGAATAGGAGAGAATACCCTGCAGAAGGACTTCCTACATTCCAAAGGACAGGTAAAATCTTCCAAAAACTCAGCAAACCAATTTTTCTCTTGAACACTGAAGCTGATTTGTCTTCCATGAGCATGAAAATCTTAATTTTATGAAAGAATCCAGTGGGCAACTTGCATCACTATAAACACAGATGGTCTTCAGTCATTCTGACGAAAACAAGTTTCTGGGAGAACTTAGTTAACGTTGGCTGTACGAGCTTCTACCAAAACTGGTGCAGGATGGGGTCCTTTCCAGGACCTACTACATGACACATGTGCCAGCCCTGAGATTTTGGCAAACTGGGTGAAGAGAACTGTAACAGGATACCGGGAGTCATTTAGAATAGCAGCAAAGTGTCACCACCATGTCACCGTGGGACCTTTGAGCCATCTCTACTGATATGAATCTTTTCCCCCCTTTTACGATATATTTTTTTTTGTATAATTGAACCCAACTTGCCTGCTGGAGTGAGTGCATGTTGTTCCTTGACCATACCCCCGGTATCCAGGTTGAAATGCTGACCTTCACATACATAGTTAAACAGTGTTTATTAAGGTACAGTGTAGCAAAGCCTTAATTTTCAAGTTGATAAACTCAAAATACTTCTCTAAAATTATAATAAAAAAGAGTTCAAATATAAGCAAGAGCAAAACAGATGCAGATAGGAATGATCAGAAGCAGTATGGAACTTGGCACAGTGTTCGAACACTCCTTTGTTCAGCATATGCCTTTTTCCATGTTACTCCTGCACGCTGTAGCTGGTAAAGGGTTGCCCTTTCTCACAGAGTATTTTTTCCTGGGCTAACCCTTTGAATTTAGCACTGCAGGAGTAAGGAGCCATTTTGTGCCTGGCAACTGCAGAACTTGTTCCCCTGTGTGCCAGTGGATATGTTCTTACGTGGTTTTCTCCAGTTTTTCCCTATTTTAGTGCTGAGGCAACAGCACACACCTAAAACGGACATGTATGTTAGGCTGCATGTCTTTAAGGCTCTGTATGAACATTAACTAATTAGTCAGTATGGAAAAGAGCTGCAAGAAGGCTGTTTCAAATGGCAGAAGCCGCAGGGGATACAGCTCGAACACCAACTGCGGGTCTGAATGCATAAAGGCCCAGAGAACAGGGAGGGAAGCAAACAGGCTGAAAGGCTGGAGTGAGCCTTCAAGAGGACTTCGGAAATATTACACAAAGAAATTTAACATGTTAAAAGACTGGCAGCAGCTCACGTAGGTACAATGGTTATATTAAGAATGGACTGTCAATCTCAACTGTTAGCCTTTAGCATGGAGAGGAGATTATATTATAACATAAATGCTACCCAAGCCTTAATTACAGCAAATCAATGCTTTGACGTACCACTTCAGGAAAAAAATGGTCCCATGGCAAAACCAGGTTTCTACATTTCCTTCAACTTTTCTCCAGACTACTGAGACCTCCCGTGCATAACTTCTGAGCCCTTTGGTTTCCTACTCTTAGTTGCCTTGGAAAATATCTTTTTTCCTTTGGAACTACAGATAATCTGGTAACTAAAACACTGGGCTCACATTCAAGGTCCCAGGTTATGTTCGCACCTAACATACAAGCTCCACTGACAACCCAGCACTGGTCCTTGCCCCGTTCTACCTATTACGCTTACCCAGGCTGTGAGTTTAGTGGCGGTCTTCTTTGCGAGAAAGTCTGCAAGAGTTTAGAGTGAATGAGCATTTTTGGCAGTATGCATGAGGATAAAACTGTCTATTAAGGTAAACATGGTTGGTATGGTAGAAGCTTGCTTTATAAATGAAGATTAACATAGCTGGAGTGAGGAACTGAGGGTGTGCTCAATGCCAGTAAGTCACCCAGCATCAGTATGGCTTGACGGACCAAGATTTACTGTCTTCCCAATGTGTAACACGGCCGTTGCAATGGAGGTTTATGCACATATCGCGATCTCATGATAACCACCTGGGTTAGTGATGACTAAATACAACGCCTCGAGGGCCCAGCTACAGGCTGAGATGGACCCATCAGTCTTGGCACAACTTTTCTTTTTTTCCTGCCCAGACGAAAGAGCAGTGCTGAAAGCCCTTTCCTATGGGGTGAAGAGAGCGATGAGATACAAACATAAGACTCCAAGAGTGTTCAGCTGCTTTCCTGGGTCTTGAGGGGAAGCCCTTAGCTGAGGGACCAGGCTAGCTGGTGTCAGTGCCAGATAAAGAATATTTTTTAAGACAGAGCATTAGCGGAAAGAATGAAGAAAGAAAGGGGAAAATAAAGGGGAGGGATATGGAAGCTTTATCAGGAGATAAGGAGCTGGGCTGGCCCATCTCTCTGCGGTGTGGACACACTTACTGCCTTTGAGTCTCTCAGGAAAGAGCAAAAGGAGCTGCTGACATTTCTGCTTAAAAGGAAGAATCAATGAATCTTTGTTTCCCACTGCCTGCTTGTTTGACCTTATTGTGTTGCAGAACAGAAAGGAAAGAAAAGAGAACGGGTGAAGGGAGAGGGGATTTGTGCTAATAAAATCCAAGACAAGATCACAGCCCTCTGATCATCGCTGGAGATGCTATTATTTGGTTGTTGTCCTATTTGCCGCTGTTCCTCATTTCCGATTCTTGCCTTGCTGTAATAAGTCACACTCTTTCCAGCCATCATCCCTGTATTGACAGGCAAATGTCACCCACGTTTGATTGACGTCCATTGCTCCTGAATACAGAAGTATGATTTAGGAATCAATTCTGTTTGTTTATTTAAGCAGCTCTTTGTGTACCTTGTATATCTGTAAGCAGGACAAGTTCCTTAATATTTTCTTGGGGGAAATGTCACTAATACTGCACATTCACCTTCCCACTCAGTCACAGAGGTGCTCACCAGCAACCTTGGGAGAGGAGAAACATTTCAGATGACAAAAAGAAAAAAAAAAAAAAGGAAAAAAAAAAGAAAGAAGGTGAAAAAAAAAAAAAAAGAAAACCCCAAGACTTAATAAGATGCTTTGCTGCGCTCGAGTTAAGCCAGAGAGACCTTTTCTCAGGTCCAGGCATCTGTTGATCTGCATATGCCCCGCACTTTCCTTTGGCTTCGAAACAAAAGGGAACTCTCTCCCTCAGTGTTAGTTTGCTAGCAAAGCGGTGGCTGGCTTTAACACCGGGAAACACTGCAGCCGGTGATGAGTATGTCGATTTTAATTCACAGAAAGAAAGGTTTCATTCTCTGCCTTTATGGTTATAATCGGGGGGGGAGGGGACGGGACACAAATCCGAAATTGTGAGAGATGCTAATCTCTATTGCTGTGCGAGGTGGGAGGTATATTTTCAAATAACTTCCACTTGGACAATTGGTAACTGTAAAGCATCCCTACATTTAAAGCGATATTTCCCAGAAAACTCTAATATGGCAGAGTAGCCTCAGAGGAGCGTTAAGCAGGAGGTGGATTGACCTTTTAATTCTCGATCGGTGACCTGAAGGGTACCCAGAGGCTGCTAAGCACATCTCTTCCTTTTGGTTTGCTCCAGAAAGAGCTGTCATCGCAAGATGCAGCTAGTGAGTGAGGCTCACGATTTCACTGTTCATCCGTTTGCGGGAGGGGTGGGGGAGGGAGAGAGGAAAAAAAATATATATTTCCCACACTGCCAGAGTAATGCCAAACTCTCTGTGAGTGGGAAGAGCAGAGCAGATGCTGGAATGAGATGCCAAAGCAGCTCCCCTTTCCCCTGCGCTTTTGGGTGCCTATAAATTGCTCCAGCGCGCTCGTCAGCCTCCTCCTCTCCTGGCAGGTGGCACCCGGGCAGGATCCCGCTCTCCCTCCGGCTCCGGCGCGGCGCCCACCTGGTTGTTCTTGCAGAGGTCGGCCCACATGCTGGTGCCGTCGCCGCCCCGCATGAGCACATGGTAGGTGAAGAAGTAGATGCCGGGGATGGAGCATGTGAACTTGCCGGTGGTGGGGTCGTAGTGGTTGCCCAGGTTGGTGACCACGTCGTCGAACTTGAGCACCTCGTAGCCCTCGTGCTGCCGCTTGAGGCCGGCGTAGAAGGCGATCTTGGGGACGGTGCTGTAGGTGGCGGCGCTGATGGCCCCGGCCGCGTTCA